GGAACAAAAGCACGCAGACCCCACAGACCCCATATCCTTGGTGTTTCCATCTGGAGGGGAGCTGCGGGTGTTGGGGGGTATAAATGCTAAGGAGAAGATAAGTGGGGAGCTGGACAGTGGAGAGTAAGGGGTTCGCCAGCTCAGATCGGGGTCACAGGAGAGGCTGCGGGAGCATCATGGGACCAGATGCATCTGGGACCCCACGGGGCAGCTCACTGGGGACTGTGTGGTGGGGGCAGCGTCCTGGGGAAGTGGAACTCTTCCCAGAACCCCACCCCATCACAGACAAGGTCAAAGCTTCTGGTCTCTCTGATGCCCCGGGAGCCTGGGGGTGGTGGCTGCAGGGGGGAGGAACCACTGAGCATGTTCAGGGCGCATCTGTCCCACACACCCTGACCCCTGCCACCAAGCCAGGTGGCAGTGAGGCTGCCTTATCCCCCAGCCCTGACGAGCAGCCCTGGCACCCCCACGAGGTCGTGTTCTCCATGGTCTCCAGAACCCACGGCCACCGTGGCTAGGAAGCGCGGTGGGGAGAACTCCGGAGGCTCAAAGCTCCATAGCTGGACTTTGCTGCTGTCCTGTGCCCGTGTCCTGTACCCCGAGTATTCAGGCTGTCAGTGCCATCTTCCAGTTATCAGGGCCACTGTCACCCCACCACCGTGCCTGTGCCCACACAGCCCTGCTCTCCTTACAAGTGGCCCTAGACTTCAGAGCATCTCAGCGCCCAGGGCTCGGTGGGCTCTGTCTATCTCCACCTGCCATGGGGGGTGGGCACCATGCCCGCTGCTGCCTCCTCACCTCCCTCAGCCTCCTGGGCTTGCAGGCACTTGGGGCATATTGTCCGGTGTCCGGTTTCTTCTCGGGACCCTGTCTAGCGGGCCTGGTGTTGTTCTGAGTGGTGACCTGGGGCTCACCCTCTGTCTCTCTCTACGTCCCTTCCTCTGGGGTTCTGTAACCCATCAGCTCAGCTGCAGGTGAGCACCAGGGTCCAGATGTCTGGGCATCTCCAGATTCAGTAGAGATCCTGCCGCCCAGGTGACTGGGTCTATACAACCAAACAGCATCGCGGAGAGACTGTGCCACATGCCGCTCAGCCTGGCAGTGCGTGGGGATTCTAGTTGCTCCATGTTCATGCCAGCATTTGCTTTTATCTGTTTTTGCATTTTAACCGCTGTGTCAGGTGTCTGGTGTTTGTACTGCACCAAGGGGGTTTGCTGGGTGGACCATTAGAAACAATGTTGATGAAGGTGACAGTGTGATTGAGACATTTGGACTGAGGGCACCAGTGCTGCACTGGCTTCAGTCCTCAGGGAGGCTGTGAACTGGTGACTGTGTGCTAAGCACCCCTTCCTGCAGGTTTTGAGGGTGTTTTTTTTCCCCGTCTGCTGCTTGGGAAGGGCTGGCCCTGCAGTATGCACAGAAACCAGCCACAGGGAAGAGGGTCTGGTTTCTGGAGACTTCCTCGTTGCCAGGAAATGAACCCCATGGAAGTTTCTGGCTCCCTTCACAAGGCAGGGAACCCCAGGAAGCTTCGGGAGCCAGGGCAGCGGGACCTGCAGGGCGGCCCAGGACAGAGGCTCACAGTGCATGATGACCTGGGGGGTCCCGACAGCCCCGGGTGATGATAGAGGTGTGAAGCCAGGGAGAAAAGGCCCTTGTCCAGCATCTCAGTGCCAAGCAGGGTGCTGGGTTGGAGAGCAGGGCTCGGAGCCTGGGAGAAGAGACTTAGTCAGGGGAAGCGGAGGCCTGGCTGGCCACGCCTGCATGGCTGCTGGGGCCTCCAGGTGGCAGCTGGGGTGGACTCTGCCTGCGCTCAGGGACCAGGCATGGAAGGCCAGCTGCTGCCCAGGAGCAGGTAGCGTGTGGCCAGGAAGTGTGGGTCCAGGGCCCTCCGGCCACCAGGGCCCGGCTCTGCTTCTGTTCACGTTCAGTGGCTTCACTGGGGTGGCTTCGGTGCAACCCCAAGATGCTGACCTGGTTATACCAGTTGCTGAAATCCTGGTGCTCTGCTTACTTCTCTGTCCTTGCTAAGACAAAACACCTGGTGGCCAAAATCAGAGAAGGAAAGGTTTGTTTAGCTCACAGTTTGTGGAGGTTTCCGTCCATTGCTAGCTGGCTCCAAGGCAGGGTGGCACCGGGGCAGCATTCAGCCTCTCTCCTCTCACACGGTACACAGGCTCCCAGCCCCCAGCCCACGGCAGATGCAGCACTCACACACCTCCCTGCCCTCCTTTTGCACAGGCTGAGGATGGTTACAAAGGCTCTCTGCTGAGTCTCTCAGGTAAACTTGTAAACTCCTCAAGTTGACACAATGTGTCCACCGTGACACCTGGCAAACCTTGGCATCTGGGGCTTAGGGTTGCTGTCCCCTCTGCTTCCCCCCATCTCTGGGACCCCAGGACCTCTAGGCCAGTGAAGGACACTGAGCTTATTCGTGGATGAGGATGGGAGAAGGAGGGATCACACACACGCTTGAGACTCCTTGGGGTGTCCTCGAGTCTGTGCCCAGGGCCAAGTGGTGAGCAGGGAGCAGGTGGCACAGGAGCCACGGGAGGGAAAGACGGGTGTTCGTCGGGCTTTGAGCGGTGCAGTGTGGGCCGGGGGAGCCGGGGTACCCGGGTCTGGTCCGGGGGCAGCTCTGCGGCCGCCGGGGTCCAGACTGCCGGCCGGGACGCAGGCCCTGCCACCGGGGCTGGGTCAGAGCTGGGTTTGCTGTGGCAGTGAGCTCTGCGTGGGGAGCGGCTGTGCCCATGTAGACGCAGTCAGGGACGGGACCGGAGGGTCTCCCGAGTTGCTCCTTTGACAGTGAGCTGGGCCCTGGACACAGGCACGGACAGAACAGGGCGCCTCTGTTCGTGGTTTGCATAAATTAACTCCCGGGACATCATGATGGCAAGAAGGACAGCTTTGTAAAGGGGGATTCAGCCCCCAGGGAGGCAGCTCCAGGCGGCACGGGGAGGCACTGGGGTCCGGGCCGTGGGCCCTGCGCCAGCAGACCTCAGAGTTGGTGCTGGAAGGGGCATCGGTGGGGGGCTGTGCAGTCCACGGGGCTCCATCCCAAGCCCTTCAGGAAGCCACAGGGGACAGATACAGAGGGCAGCGATGCCTAAAGACAGTGCACAGCGCAGCTGCCCGGCTCCTTGGGACATGGGGAGGGCAGGAACGAAGGTGAAGCACAGGAGGGACCCTGTGCACCAGGCTCGTGCGGCCCGGTCCCCAGCAGCCAAGATCCGGGCCCGGCTGGTGCTGCCCATCAACAGAGGGATGGATAAAGAAAATACTGGTGACAGACACAGCGGAGTATTACATGGATGTCAAGAAGAACACAAATTCGTCATTTGCAGGAAAATGCACAGAACTGGGGACCACGTGGTGTGGAATTAGCCAGATTCAAAAAGATGGGTGTCACCTGTTCTCTCAAAGGGCACCGTGACCCCTGCAGGGAGACTTACTACACAGGAGGGGGGCAAAGGGGTGCAGAGGGGAGCGTGACGTGGGATCCCTGGGCACGGCAGGCTCGGAATGTGTGAGAGGCACAGCAGTGAAGGGCTGGAGAGCAAACGGGAGACGGGCTGGGAAGACCTGGGGGGGTCACTTCCTGTTTACCCGGCAGGCGTGAGGTCCTGGTCCTTCTCCCAGGACGCCTTCAGGGGCGGCGGACTCGGCTGCTCTCCTGCCCCTTCCTCGCTGGGACCCCAGCCGGGTTTTGATCCTGGTCACCCTTTATCTCTCACTGTTCCCACAGGACTCCTTTCCTTCCCCCACTTTCTTAGCATCTTCTCCGTGAGGAGCCCCCACCTCTGTGTAGTTCAGAAATGCCCTCATTGCCCGCCCCCCCAAAGCCCAGCACTGTTAGGCTGAACCATCACTCCCCATGTTCCCCAGAAACTCCCAGTCTGTTTTCTGTCTGCCTTCTGCAGATTTTATGTCAGTGGGCTTTCTCGGAGTGCTGTTTCTGAGATACATCATTGTAGCTTGTGTCTTTACTTCCCTTTTCATGCCCAAGTAATATTCCACCACAGGATCGACCACCTTTTATTTTTAGACTTAGTGGTTGGTGGGCATGCGATTGTCTCCACCCTTCCATACCGTAAATAGCACTGCTGTGCTTGTTATGCATTTGTTTCAGTCCCCATCTTCAGTTCTTTGGAGCATAAACCTCAGAGTGGACTTGCCAGGTCCTGCTGGATTCTAGGTCTGGCTTCTGAGAAATCGGCAGCCCCATCACCGGCCAAGTACTCGAGGGCCCGCTTGTCCGGCCCTTGTCATCTGTCTCTGGTCTTGGCCATTGTAGTGGCAGCGAGGTGGCTGCTTACCGTGGTTTCCACATCCGTCTCCCTGAGGGTGTAGGGTGCCGTGTGTGGATCAGCCCTGTGGAGACATGTCTGTGCTGTGGTTGTTTTCAAAGGCTGGGTCACTGGTCTCCTTGCTGTTGAGCTGCAGGCGTGTTTTGTGGACTCTGGGGGACAGGCGATGGGGTGCACCCCTCAACCCCAGCCGTCCTCACCCGCAGGCGCCTGCGCTGTGGTCTCAATGCCCGCCGGTGCCGCCACCCCACTCTGCCTCCTCCCTGTGCCGTGTTCCTGCCATGCTGCTCTGCCCGTTTCTTGGGAGGAGCGGAGCCCAGAGCCTGGCCGCTCTGCCCCTGGGGTCCCTGGGCTGCCACCTCAGGTCCCCGGTGGTGTTTGGCTGGTTAGGACTCTGCGGCCCCAGCCTCCTCCGTCCCTGGCATGGCTGACTCTTGGGATTCCTGGGCCCTCAGTCCAAGTGAGGGTCCTTCCCGCCCCAGACTCCCCTACAGATCATGCCTCTCAGGGCAGCCAGAGCCACGCTGTGAAACGGGACCCCGGGGAGTGTGGCCAGCTGTGCTCTGATGTTCACGCTGCCTGGAGGAGAGGGTGGTGTCGGGGTGCTCTCCCCGGTACCCGCTGGGCTCCCCACATGGCCACCTGTGCGGCCACGGCATTGTTCTGATGGCCTCTGTTTTGCTTTTTTCCCAGAATCAAGGCCGCGGCTGGCGTGAAGATAACGGCCGTGAGGGTCAGCAGCGAGGACCAGTGGGCGGTGCAGGAGGAGATCGACCACAGCGACACGCAGACGACGGCCGCCCTGGCCTGCGTGGGCCACCACCCCGACACCCAGAGCAGGTGAGGGGGCCGGGCTCTGCCGCGGGGAGATGTGTGCCGGGAGCCCCGAGAGCCCCACTGCCTCTGCGTGTGTCTTTGGACGGCTGCGCCTTTGTGCTCGACCCCCAAGGGGCCCTGGGTCCCCGAGGTGACGGCGGTTTGCATCTGTCACAGGGCAGCTCCAGAGCCACGTTTCAGGTCCTCAGCGTTCTCAGTCCTGTTCCTGTCTGCAGCGCAGAGTTGGAGAATGAAATGGGAAAACAGAGGAATTACTTCAGAGGCGAGGGTGGGCACGGGGCGGGGGCGGGGTGGCCGCGGTCCTGGGTCTGAAGTTGGGTGAACCAGAGCCGCTGGCCCAGGGCAGCTACTGGTGACCGTGTCGGGACCTAGGGGATCAGGCGTGCACCCCGTGCACCCCCAAAGTCCTTTCTCTGCCTTGTCCAGTGGAGAGCCCCTGGTGGACCTGTCCCTGCCCCTACCTGCGTGGTCTGTTGTTGTGGTCTTTGGTCTCCAGTCTTTAAAGCCTTGAGACCCCCAAGAGGCAGATGGGGGTGGGGCAGGGTGGTCGCAGAGGGCCTGGGGTTCCCCTGTGGGGCTCTGTAGTGTGGGGTTCCTTGCAGGGGCCTCAGCCAACCTCAGCTGGCGCTGTCCTCTGCCTGCCCGAGGTCTCCTTCGGGTCGGAGGTGCCTGGACTGGGTGTTTCTCTGCAGACTCATCCTTCACTGCCATGACAGTGTCTGGTCAGCGGCCTCCCCTGGCCCGGGTTTCCCTGATCCCTGTCTGCCTGCCCCCCACCCCCCATCTCCAGTGGTTTGTATTTGCTCAGCTGCTGACAGTCACAAGAAGGGATTCTCTGCCTCAAAACGGCAGCTTCCAAAGGGTTTTCCTGAGTCCTTCAGAGAGGTGGGTGGCTCTGCGGTTGGCTAACACAGCAGCTCAGCTGTGTCTCCAAGGTGTTTTCTCTCTGCCCCACCAGGGCCACTATAGCTACCTCAAGCACGCTCCAGTTTGCTTCCTCATGGTCACAAGGTGGCTGCATCTTTCCTGACCTCACACAGTCTTCCAGTAACACTCAAAGCCTGGCAGGGAATGGGGTTTCTCCTCATGTGACCCTTCTGACCAGCGAAGAAAACCTTTTCAACAGTCTCCACGGAGGTCTTTTCTTCAGACTTGGTTCATGCAGGTGTGGGCGCCACATCTTTGCCTAAGATTCAGGGCGGTTTTGGGGAGTGCAAGTCTGAGGTTGATTTTGAGCTGTGGAGCAGGAGACAGAATGGGGACAGGAAGAGGGGCAGCTGGCAAGCTGGCGATGTCCGCTGTGTCCCTCCCCTAAGTGGTGTCTGCCGCGCTGTGCTGGAGTCTGTTTCTGGAGTCCCTGTGCCTTCCTGTCCCAGGAGAAGACTTCCCTTTGTGCTGGTTTATCAGGGTCTTTCCTGATTGCCGCCCTCAGGTCCTGTCTTGGGCATCTCCTGTCACCCAATACCCTGCTCCCACAGCTCAAGGCCGAGAGGCTGCTTTGGTTCAGGGTGTGGTCCTGACTGCAGGCAGGAACAGCCCGGTGGAGGGCCTGGCGGAGGAGAACGGCTCAGCTCATGGGGATGGGAAGCAGAGGGAGCCGGGAGGAGGCGCGGGGAGAGAAAGCCTCCCAGGCCCCGTCCCTGGGATGCCCCGTCCCTGGGATGCCCCGTCCCTGGGATGCCCCGTCCCTGGGATGCCCCGCCCCTGGGATGCCCCGCCCCTGAGATGCCCCGCCCCTGGGATGCCCCGCCCCTGGGATGCCCCGCCCCCGGGATGCCCCGCCCCTGGGATGCCCCGCCCCCGGGACGCCCCGCCCCCCGGGACGCCCCGCCCCCGGGACGCCCCGCCCCCGGAGTGCCTAGTGGTCACTTGAGGGAAGCCACTCTTCCCATACAGGCCTGGCACCAGCCCCAGGGGCCATGGTCACTGACCCTGCCGGGCACAGTTTGGATGTTGTGCTGGCCTGGACTCAGTGTCCTGGCTGGGGCAGGGATCAGCGGAGGGGCTCCGCCAGGGCCATGGGTGCTGATGGGGACATGAATTAGACGTGGGGTGTGCACCGGTGTCGCCAGCCCTGGGCCCGAGTCAGAGGCTGGGAGGGCCCCCTGGCCCTGTGGCCCAGCGGGTGGTTCCGTGGTGCCTGTGGTCTGGCGCGGTTTGGACGGAGTGGTAATGTGTCTGACTGAAAGAGCCACACACGCTCTCAAAAGCAGTCTCCTTTGGTTTTGTGAAAACCATTTTTTTTGCATTTTCTTTAGAAGAGATTTTTAAAAAGGCTGCATGAGAGAAAAATCCAGGTAGTTATGTAAGCGGAGTTAGGTAATTCCGGGACAGCCGACCTCCCGCGTCTCTCTCTCTCTCTTCCTCCTCCTCCTGCACATTTAGAATTTGACCTCCGCGGGGCTGTAACAAGGGCAGGCAGGGACTGTTACGCTGGCGTGACAATTTATGCTTATCTAATATCCTCTAAAATCCATTCCATAATCTAAATAAGTAATTGCTTCTTTTTATACTTTTGGTTGCATTGTGATATCAAATGAGGTGTGAAATACAGGCTCATGGACTGGGTTTGTTGCTCACAAAGTGAATATATGAATATATCCCTAACAAAACATCCGCAGAAAGCTGTAGTCTCTGAATTGTGACAACCTGGAGTGGAATGGAGCTTTTAATAGAATATAATGTACAAACTGCCTGAAATTCTGCGATAAGAATTCAAAGCGTGTCGCGTGGAAAGACCCAGCATGCTTGGTTGGGAGGGCAGAAAAGGTCTCAATTTAAAATGTTTTAATGAAGACTCGTTGTAAAGAAACGTGAGTTGGAGAGATGGAAACCACAGATAAGGGGTAGCATTGCTACACCGGGGAGAAGCCATTAGGGAAAGTGAGCAAACTTGAAAGTGTTCTGCACAGATAACAGGGACGGGAGGCAGGAGGGTGGGCCTGGGCGTGGAGACCATGTACAGATGGGGAGTCAGGGGTGAGGAGCTGGCCCTGTGGTTTCTGTCTGACTGCTGGGACCCAGCCTCAGAGAACGGGCTGCCCCTGCCAGGCGGTCAGGAAGCGTGGTACAGTCGCTTCTCCCTAGAGATGGACTCATGCAGAGGAGAGCTCTGCAAGGATGGAAAAGCCCAAGCCCTGAGATGCATTGCTCTGAAGGACCAGGCCCACCCAACTTGGAACCCCACTCAAGGTGAAACCAAGGTCAAATCCAGTTGCATTCCCCTGAGGCTCGACCCTATTTGCAATCCCAGAGACAATCTCGTGGGAATTTTTCTTTGCCAACTTGGATCCAGAAAACAGTATAATTGTGTTTGTCAGCTTTTTGTGACTGTTACAAAAGCCTGACGTTATCTATCGGTTAGACAGCAGAGAGGTTGAACTTGGCTCACGGCTCTGCAGGTGTCAGTCAGTTGGGCTTACTTCCTTCAGGCCTGGACTTGGTAGTGTGTCACAGCAGGGGTGTGTGGGGGTGTAACGGCCCGATCACACTCCAGGGCCGGAATGAAAGAGGAGCAGAAGGTGGCTGGGGTAGGACGCACCCCAGTGATCCCACACCTCCTGCCAGGCTCTGCCCTTTGAAGGTTCCACCACCTCCTGATGGAACTGAACTGGGGCCAGGCCTGTGGCACCGGGGCCCTGGAGGACGATTGGGTTCCAGACGTGGCACTGCCGGCTGGGCAGGGCAGGGGTTGCCTCTCCCCCAGCCTGGTGAACCTCTGCTCTCTGTGCCGTTCCATCCCTGACCGTGAGGCAAAGCAGCAGCATCCATGTGAGACAGCGGTGTGAGTTTGTGGCGGGACCCAGCTCAGGCTTTCCGGGCGCCTGCGGAATCATATTCAGGTTTAAAAACAAAACAGAGGAAGGCACATTCGGTGACGGGAACAGGCTCCCTGTTTCTAAGAAGCAGAAGTTGTTTTTCCTCTTTGGCTCAGTTTATGTTAGTTCCTTCCCTTCTGGAAAAGAAAAAGAACACATGTTTTAGTGCATTTCTCAGGATATTTGTATGATTCTGTCGTCCGTTCCTTATTTTACTTAAAACTTTATAGAAAAATCACATAATGCTTCCTGGGGCCAGACATTATTTTAAGCCATTAAGAATAATTGTTTGAAAATCAGAAATGCTAGGACCCTGTGAAGTTGATGACTATTTCTGTGCCCAGTGAACAGATGACTAAACAGAGGCACAAATGACCCAAGTCTTAGGTTACTTTTTCTTTGCTGAGACACAAACCCGACACCCATAGCTTAAAGGGGGAGAGGTTTATTTTTTGCTCACGTTTTGGCCCAGACTTATCAGGCTGGAGCACAGGATGGTGTGGTGGAAGGGGCCAGTGGAGGAGAGCTGCTCACCCCATGGTGGACAGGGTGCAGAATGAGCGGGGCCTTGGAGGGAGATAGGGACCCTCCTTAGGACCTGGTCCCGGGACTGGGCAGTGCAGTCCAGGCAATCTGCACTGTGTGTCTCTCTGCATGATCTAGTCACCTTCCCAATGCATGAGAATTGGGTGGCCACTTCAGATCTCAGCATGACCCCCCAAGGTCTCGGAGCCAGCATGCGGTCCAAGCAGCTGGACCTCAGGCTCCATGCGCAATGCTGGCCAGGGCTCTGCAGAGGTGTGACAAGGTTTCCTGTCCAGCACGTCTTAGCACCCTCCTCCCCTGGTCCTGCCAGGCTGGCCTTGCAGCAGTGTCCCAGTGCTAGCTGGCTGTGTGGTGTTTGGGTGTCAGGCTGCTGTGGGTTGAGCGTGTTTGCTCCATGCGGTGTCCACGCTTTGATCTCTAGGACCATCTTCTGGGATTTGCAGTGGTGGTTATGTTAAGGATCCTGAGAGATGAGGACTGTCCTGGGCACTCAGGTGGCCGCACAGTTGGTGACCACAGTTGGTTCTTCTAGTGGAGACATCCAGGGGCAGGACACACAGAGGGGACGTGGAGACAGAGGCGGAGGCCACAGGGAGCAGCCACAGCCAGAGACCACTGGAGTCATCTCGAGTTGGGAGA